AGGAAAAACTGAAGGAGCAAAACACCGGAAGACTCACAGAACCCAAGAATGGACTAACACTTACCAAAAGGAAAAGGACAGGGGAGGATGGGTGGGCAGGGAGGGATAAGGGAGAAAAAAAAAGGGGGGCATTACTATTAGCAGATATAATGTGGGGGGGGGCACAGGGAAGGCTGTACAACACAGAGAAGACAAGTAGTGATTCTACAACATCTTACTATGCTGATGGACAATGACTGTAATGGGGAATGTGGGGGGAACTTGGTGACAGGGGGAGTCTAGTAAACATAATGTTCCTCATGTAACTGTAGAGTAATGATACAAAAAAAAAAATGCCTAGAGAGTAATCAGCACAGACCTGGGGACAGTGAGGGCCCAGCCACACCTCATTATCCCCTGGGAGGCAGAAGCTGAATCAACAAGCCTGACAATAGTTACTGGGGGTGAGGGGCCATGGCTCCCAGGAAATGGCTTGCTCCCCACCCATGCCTCCACCAGGGGAGAAGCAGAACACCTTCTGGGGGGACATGGGTTTATGGAGGATGTAAAGGATGTGGGAACATTTATTCCAGTCAATAACGACACAGTGCCATGTCTCACTCAGGGATGGTTTATGTCCACCACATTGTTGACTTAAGGACTCACAGGCCCATTTTCCACACCCCAGCTATAAAGAACAAGTTCCTTCTTCTGCCCTAAGTCTGAGGGCAGTCCTGACAACTGGAATCTGTTCATATCTGAGGTTCCCAGCAGCCCAGGAGGTATTCTGCTTGCCCGGAACAAGGTCTTAGAAATATTTGATTAACTCCTAATTTGTTAATTAAAAACTTTTGATATTCAAAACCTGGATTTCCTGCTTCTCTCAAAAACCTAGGGGATCTGGTACCTTGGGTCCCCATCCACATGAGCTCTGAGTGTCTGAAATGAATGTTGGCCACCACCATGGAAGATAGGACAGTGTCCAGCCAGGCCATCCACTATTTGTCCCACATGGCCAAGCTCGTTGTGGCCTCAGCCCTGAGCGGTATTTGCATCTTGATCAAATATTTATGCAGCACCTGTCTGTGTGAACTACCAGGCGAACCATCGCAACAATCTTATAGAGGGAAATGGCAAGGATAGTCTTTTACATGCGAGGAAGCAACTAAGACTCAGAGGGATGAAGACCGGAAGCAGGTCTCCTCCAAGCCAGGGCCCCTAAGCATACCTCCCTCTGACCAGCACTCAGAGAACCATCAAACTCAGAAACGGGAGCTTTCTGCACTGGGCATCAGTGTAGGATGCCTTTGGAAACCTCACCATGCGGGGCTACTGAAATCAGAGTGAGGAATGGTTGCTGGGAACCGTGTCCAGAAGAGTAAGCATGGGGAGGTGGGCACCTTGGGGCAGGGGCCACAGCAGTCTCATCACCCCTGGGCCCTAATGTCCCTGGCTCCCCATGAGAGGGAGAGCTCTGGGCTTGACATGACTTCTCTGTGTCATCTCTATCCCCAGCAGCGATCAGCACAAGTCAGGATACACCCAAGGTACCAAATACACATTTGCACAACTGGATTGTGTGTGTAGGCGTGAAATCTAATGATGCACAGAAGACATGCATCAGCATGATATGATGGTGTCTGTCTCCCCCACTGGACAGGGAGCTCCAGGTGGCCGGCCACCCTATCTGACTCACCTTTTCCATTGCCAGCATGCAGCTGAGAGAAGCCAGGCAGCATTTGTTGAATACAAAAACCCATTTCCTCTTAGAACTTGTGGCTCACAGAGGTGAAGTGACTTGACTGCTCAACATCCTACAGCTGGTGAGCACAAGAGCCAAGCCCAGGGTCCAGGTTGGCCTGGCATGAGCCCAGGTCTCACTACTCTCCAGAGAGTTATGGGGGGGCACTCTGGCAGCCTGTGCCAGGCCTGCCCCCAACATGTTTGCCTGGCCCACTCACCTTCCCATCTGGCACGCTGCTGTATCCACTAAAGTGCAGGGGCCCTGGCACAGTGGGCCTGGAGTTGGCAGAGAGGCGGCGGTCCAGGCAGGTGGCCAGGCAAAAGGGCAGGCAGGCCCAGCAGCATAGCAGGATATAGACAGTGGAGAAGCCCAAGGAACATAGGATGACAAGCAGAAGCCGACCCTGGGGAAAACAGGGGTCATGGAGTTGGGGTGGGGGTCCCTGGGGCTCCTAGGAGCTTCTGCAAGGGTGCTGCACCCAGCCTGGTGGGTCCAAACCCCAGCTCAGCAGCTCCTAGAACATCATCAGTCTTCTCTCCAATAACCAGGACTTGCTCTGGGCTCAAGCCCCGGAGATAAGCCTTATTATTATCCCCATATTAGATAAGGAAACCAATTTGGGGTGAAGTATGTAACTTAAGGTCACAAAGCAAGAAAGCAGCAGGGTGGAGTCCAAGATTCTGGCTGCAAAGTGCACGTTCTTAACCAGAAGCCACGGTGCAGCTTTGGGTGCCTCTCCACCTCTCTGGGCCTGTTCTGCCTCTACAGAATAGGCGCCCATAAGGCCTGCAATGTGAACTGACTGCGGGAGGATAGTGGAGAAAATATTCTGTAAACTGTAGAGTGCTGTGCACATGAGGCTAGGAGAGTGGCCCATAAGAAAGACAACCAGCCCCCTTCAGACTGGACTGAGGCTGCCAACGTGCCCATCCCCTATGCCGTCCCCCAGCCAACTCGGTGGCCATCCCCTGAGCTGATGATCACAATTTGGGCAAGCAGTCCCCGTGAGTAAAGAGGATGGTAGAAGGGAATGTGAGGGACGCATCCTTCAAGAAGCAGTTTCAATAATTGAAAGCTGCTGCTCAGAGACCCCCACCTCCAGAAACCATGTGCCAAAGGCCATTTAACCAGAAAGCCCTCCTGGCCCCTGGCCCAGGGCCCAGTCTGGGGCTGGCCCGCCGAGAGGCTTAGTGAATGGACCCACCAAGCCTTCGAGAAGGGGCCACCTGGTTGGGGACACAACGCAGGGCTGCCATGGTTTGCTGGGCCACCCTGGTCACCACCTGTGTCTCTCTGGGCTCTAATTTTTTCCCAGCCTCTCCAAGGCCCAGGTCCCTTGCTGCCCCTCAGAAACCACCTAGCAGCTGGCTGGCACTCTGAAAATCAGTGGCGGGAAAGCAGCCTCCACCATCCGCCCCCACCCGCACCACAGGCGTATCCTGCCAGAGGCACACTCTTTCTGCCCACAAGCCACATCAGCTTCTAAAAATAAATCTTCCCTCTGCAGCCAGCTGTGTAGGGGAGAGGGTTCAGCCCCTGAGGCCCCAGGTTCTGCTGGCACCTGGTCCCCTGCCCACGAGGGACCCAGAGATCCGATTCAGGCAGACATGGTGGGCTACCTGCAACACCCAAGGCTCTCTCCCGCCGCCACAGGCTCCTGAATAAAGTCAAGAGCAGCTAAACAGAACTTTCACACCAGGGAGGTGCCTCGCCTGGGTGACCTCGGAGATGCTCAAAGGAAATAGTGCTCTTCTGTTTTACAGGGAGAGGGTCAACACACTGAAACCAGAGAGGGAACACCACTTGCGTGCAGCTACCCAGCCTGTCAGGTCAGGGCAGGGCTCGGGGCAGGAGAGGCAACTGAGGTTGATGGGCCGGAAGCCCTCCAAGCCTTCTTCTTTCCACCACTTACCGGAGCCTTCATGCTGTCGCTGCTGCTCAGCAGCTGGGGGAACGCTGCCTCCAGGGCTCCGGCTGGGAGGCGGAGGGAGCCAGGCACCTGCCAAGACCCACAAACTCAGAGCTGGGTCCCGGGCCTCTGAGGAAACTGCCCAAGGGAAACTGAGGCAGGGGGGGTACAGGCCGGCATCGAGGCGGATGGCTTCGGGGGCTCAAACGCCTTGAAGTCACCAAACACAGGGCAGCACTGTGTCCGTCCTAAAGGGGCTGGACTCGGTGACTTCTGCGAAAACCCCCTCACTCCCAAATCCCATTGTGCCGATGGGGAAGGAGTAGAGAGAAAGAGCCCCCCTCGGCTCAAGGTCACCCATCGAGTCTGGGTCAGACAGAACCAGGAGCCCGCAAGCCCCATCCCGACTCCCACCCGCATCTCCGGGAGGCCTGCGGCGGGCCAGGACCCAGGATAACCTCCCTCCCGAGTTCCACCGCCCCCTCCCCCGGCCGAGCGCCTACCGGGCGGGCAGGTTGGCGGGCGCCGGCTTAGCTCGACCCGCCGCGCGGAGCTCCATGGCCCGCGGGCCGGGCGGGCCAGGCTGGAAGCCGCAGCCCGAGGCGGAGGTGGCGCCGCGGCCGCAGTTTCTGGAGACGAGAAGCTGAAAGCGCGCTGCCGGCGGCGGGGGCGCGGCCTGCGAGGACCGGGAGGGGACAGGCGCGCGGGGCGGGGCCTGCGCGGCGGGGCGGGGCCTACGAGCGCGGCCTGCGCGGCGTGGGGCGGACGTGCGTGGCCGGCGGGTCGCGCTTTTCACCCGAGCTCTTGCGGGGGTTGGGGTTTGGGGTTTGGGGTTTGGGGGTTGGGGATGGGCGACCCGCAGGGTGAGACACCAGAGGGTGTTGGAACCCCCGAGCTGTGCCTGCCTTGAGGGCACGAAAGTCTTGAGCTTCACCATTTCTGAAATTGGGTGTTAGGAAAATTAAACAGGGGCTTGGGGTCAGGCAGCCCTGAGTTTTAATCTGGTAGGTCTGCCAGTTTTGGCAAGTAAAATACAGTAGGCCTACTTATTGGAATTAAAATTTCAAATAAACAACGAATTACTATATTAAAAATGACACACCTGTATTTTCTCTGGCAACGCTACCTGGGCTGTCGAGCAGTGAAGTGTTTTCTCTGTGAAGTGGGGACAACTACAGCACCTGCCTCCCAGGGAGATAGTGCAGGGTGCTAGTGGCAGAGGTAGGATTCCAGCTCTGGGCAGTCTTACTCCAGAGCCAGGCCTCTGACTTGCACTCCCCAAATGCCCCACTCCCAAGGTGTCCTCCAAATCCAAGCCAACTTAGTCTTGGGCCCCTGCACATGCTGAAATGTGTCCCATTTGAAGGCTCAGATGCAGTCCCTCCAGGATTGCAAACTCAAGTGCCTTCAGGAACAAGAAAGGGTTGAAAGGGTAGATACTGGGCAACATGGAGGGGCGGGCCTGTGGTGAAGTAGATAGCTTACTTCCCAAGTAGAGCATTTTTTCTCACAACATGCTTCATAAGCCAGAAAGTTCATCTTACCACCCTCGCCACACCCATATCCCTCTGCAGGGCCCTGGCCTGGGAAACAGCCCGAGTTCTTGCTCTGGCCCCACTTCAAACGGCATTTTCCTTTATCTCAGAGGCTCTGGTGTGAGCATAGTGCCAAGGTATCCATGTTGTGTATCTGCACCCAGGAGACGCTGGGGAAGATGCTGAAGGGGCCTTGCCCCTGGGGCCTCCCTTGAGCACAAGCCACACAGTGAGTCCCCAGAGCTGGAGCCCTTCTGGCCTCCCCCAAGCCCTTATCCTTCAAGTTCAAGTTTCTCTCCTCACAGACCCGACTCCATGGCGACAATGGTGGGAAGTTCCATATGGATTCGTTTATCACCCACAGTGGCTGGTGAAGTGACAGCTCCTTCTCCAGAAAGGCAGCACTCTCCTTGCTCGGACCACATGGAGGCAGGGGCATGCCTGAATGTCTTGGGCTCACAGAACAGGACAGGATCATATGTCCACAATGGAACTGACACTGAGAAGTCCTACAGCCTGCGAAGAGGCTCTTCAATTTGATTTTGGCAAAAGCCCATCCCTTACCCTGACCTACCAAGTCCTGCACAGTCTGAACTCCTGTCTCCTTTCAGTCACCATCTGCCCACCCTGGCCACCCTGGCCACCCTTCCCACCCCCAGTCATCTTGAGCTCATTCCTACTTCAGGACCTTTGCACTTGCTGTATCCTCTACCTGGACTGCTCTGTTCACATGGCCAGCTCCTTCTTGTCATTCAAGTCAAACGTCACCTCTGCAGAAAGGCCCTCACCAACCATTCTATCCAACCCTGCATCCCCATCCCTCTAGTCCCACCTTGATTTATCTTTTTCATAGTATTTGTATTAACTCTATGTATTAGCTGGTTTTCTTGTTTATGATCAACCCACCAGTAGAGTCTAAGCTTTGTGTGGGCAGTCAGGCCAGTCCTCTTCCAGGCCATTTCCAGTACATGCACAGTGCCCAGCCCCCACTAGTGCTGAATGAGCCAGTTAGAAAAGCCAGGAGGCCTGAGACCTGAGATCTTGAACAAGTCACTTCCCTCTCCAGCCTCAGGCCCTGCCTCAACCCATTTCCAGAGACCTGAGAGGGTGGGGGCTGAGCCACCCCTGTCCAGGAGCACAGGGCTCTGGGGCTCTGACTCAGTCCTGTCAGGTCCCGAGCCTGGGGAAACCCAGGGCTAAACCCCAGTGCTGCCTGACGGCTGCTGTTTCCACGGCCCACCCACCTCCGGCTTGATGACCTTAATGTTCTGTATGTCTCAACTTCCTGCTGAATCACAAGAAAGTCTCTGTGACTTGTGCTCACACAGAGTTTGAGTCATCACTTAAGGTCACCCAGACAACTTGGGGTTATGTTACACACACACACATCTCTGAGGACCCCACACTCCAGCCCTGCAGTACGAGCTATCCCTTCCCCTCACTCCCCCATCAGCCATTTTCCTTCATTTTATCTGAAGGCCAATGGAAGGAAATGGCAGTGTTTAGTGTGGCTGAGCAGCTTTCCCGAGGTTGAGTTGTGCAGTCCTGGGAGTCAGCTCTTGGCCCACGAGCACCCAGCAACCACCACACTGTTTTCTCCCCCTCTAAACTCCAACCACAGTGAAACAGGTTTCTTTCTCACAAAGGCCAAGCTCTCTCACAAATCAGACCTGTGCTATGCCCTTGGCCTGGGACCCCAGGGTTGCTGACTCTTCTGGTCTCAGTTTAGAGGTTAGAATCCCCTCCGCCCAGTCAAACAATCAGGTAGGGGCCCTTCTCGAGCTCCACGGCCCCACACTCCTTCACAAGGTTTTGTCACACCAACCTCCCTTTGTCAGCATCCCTCCCCAGATTGTGAATTCTGGAAAGTGGAGTTTGTGCATCATGCTTCACCCCCAGGCCCCCAACGCCCAGCAGAATGGCTGTCACAGAGCAGGTGCTCAATACATATTTAATGAGTTAATGAGTTCCATTTTCGTCCTTTCCATTTTACAGATGAGACCATTGAAGCACAGAGAGCTTTAGCACCTTGCCTTGGTCACACAGCTAGGCCCCAGAGCAGCTCTAGAGGAAAGGTCCACTTAGGCATGGTGGGACTAGACCAGAGTCAGAGGCTGGGTTGGAGTTCCCTGGAGGAGGGAGAAGGAATGATCAGGGACTATGCAGGAACTTGGCTTCTCTGCTCCCAGGGATGTCTGTGTGGCCCTTGGTCTGACCACCAACCCGTGTCCCCATTTCACAGATAAGAAAAATGATTCCCAGAGGAGGGCAAAGTTTTCTCAAGATCAGCAGTGGCCCCAACATAATGCCTCCCAGACTGCAGCCCTCCCATGCCCCACCTTCTCCCACATGTATCCCAAGAGGAGTGCAAGCAAGGGGGCCACCCAGAGGGAGGCCAGTGGATCTTGCTTGAACCAGGGGCAGCGGGTGGGGAGGGCTGGGTTTTCAGGCTGGCCTTGCCACTTACCTGTGCAAAAGCCCCTGAAAGTCTCTGGGCCTCAGCTCCCCCATCTGCATGGTAAGGGGACTGGACTGGAGCCTTGGGCCTCCCCACTTCCCCAGAGCGTGAGGACAGGACAGAGGGAGCTGGTGGGTAAGAACACAGGCTGAGTCCAAAAGGCATAGTTGAGTCCTGGTTCCAGCATTTATTGCTGAATGATCTTGCTCAGTCCCTTCACCCCCTGAGCCTCCATTTCATGGTCTGTAAAGAGAGAATAATAGCATTTTTTAGGATTAAATGAGCTAATATAGGGGATACTTGATACAATGCCAGGCACAGCATCTCCCGTGAAATGAGGCTGTGCTGTCATAGTTTTAGTTAGGGGATCTGCCCTCTGGAGGCCAACTGGGGGAACAGCAGGCGATGGGAGCCCGACCCGCCGCCCTGACCAGGCTGGACCCAGCGTTCCCGGCTGGCGCCCATGGTCCAGATGGGGAGAGCGCAGCCCGGCGCCTGTCACTCGGTGTGCGCCTCCACCCACTGGCAGAGGCGACGGGCGTAGCGAGCCGGGCTGACTGTGGAGAAGGTCCGGCCCGGGTAGCGCAGTGTCTTCCATAGGTGTTCCAGACGCTTGCGGAGCCCGTAGACCGTGGCGAGGTCCACGAGGCCCAGGAAATAACGTTGCTCTGGTCCGTCTAGAATGTGGAGCGCGTTGGGGGCGTCGGGCAGCAATCGGCGGTTCTGGGCTCCCGGCTCCTCCGGGCTCTGTACCCCTCGCACAGACCTGGGGGCCGACAGGAGGATGAGGCTACCGGCTTCCCCAGGGGGGCCCCAGGCAGTGGACCACGGAAGCGCGGCCCGGCGGCCCCTGCTCTTCCCTCATCAGCGTGCCAGGCCTGTGAAGTCAGATAAACTGGAACGCTGAGCAAAGTGTAGCGGACCGTCTAGGGGCTCACTACCCAATATATAATCGCTAGCCACCCGTGGCCACTGAGCACTTAAATGTGGCCAGTCCCAATTGTGATGCACTGTAAGTGCAAAATACATACTGAATTTCCAAGAAAGTATGTGAAGAAGAATGTAAAATATTTCATAAATGTTTATATTGGTTAGATGATGAAATGATAACATTTTGGATATATTGAATAAGTAAAATATACTATTAAAATTATTTTTACCTGTTTCTTTCTACCTTTTTTAAAGAAGCTCCTAGAAAATTAAAACTACAAGTGTGGCTTGCATTACAGTGCTATTGGGTAGTGCTGGTCCAGAGCATTTGGATCACACAGACCCTGGCTCTGCACTCACGTGCCATATCACTTTGCGTATCTCCTGAACTTCCGTTTAGGGCTGCCAACCCTGGAAGTTTCAGAGTGCCAGAGCTGAAAATTTGTTAACAGAGTCCAACCCAATTTGTAGATGGCATGTGGGATTTTTTTTTTTTGCCTCAAAATGTGTTTCAGATCTGAATACGCCTTTGGCTGGGCCCCCAGTCCAGCCAGAAGCAGGTTCAGTGCCCTCACTTTGCCCCCTGGGGACAGTGGGGAGGTGAGGGGGAACGCTGCTGAGGGGTTTTACTCCTGCCCTGCCAGGCATAGACCAATCAGAACCCAGTGTCCTGGGAGTCCCGGCAAGACACTGGTACCCTCTGCCCAGTCCGGGTTAACCTAGATGATGGAGAGGTGGGAAGCAGGGTCTGTGTTCTGAATGAGGGGCTGGGAACTGGCGGTGGGGTGCGCGGTGGGACCGGGACAGTGGCTATTTACTAGCCAGCACAGAAATATTTCAATATGAAAACAACCATTATATGCAAACTTGGGCTTACTGGCTAAATGACAGCTGTAATCTAAACACCAGCTGGGGATAGAGAGCAAGGGGCAAGCTGACCTGACTTGGACGGGCAGACTGGGAAGGTCCTGTGCCCCATGGCAGGAAATTTACCCTCTGGTCAGGATGTGTCCAGCCAGCCATGGGGTGCAGGGAGCCAATACCCTGGACTCTGCCCAAGCCTCACCCATCCCAAGATCTTCCTTCAAGGGGTGCGGATGGGAGGCGGGATGAAAGGATGTTACTGTTCACTTGTCTTGTCCATCCAGCGTATCAACGGGCTTCTTTCCCTGAAGTGCCTGTGTTAACCCTTATGTAATTCTGTTGCAGGGCCTTGGAGGACTGAAGTCCAAGTGACTAACCAAGAACCAGTGTGAATCTCAGATGCCACTCTACAACTTCATTTCCTTCTCCGAGCGCCCAGTTTTCACCTCTCTAAAAGGGAATGAGCCCACCCTAATGAGGTTCATGGTCAGCATGCAAGGAGTGACTGTTACTACTGCAGAGGGGAGGACGTGGTGATGGTGCCAAAGGAGATGACCTCAGGGTTCTAGAGGTGGAACAGGGTTAAGGGGCAAGAGCTCTTTCTTAGGCAAAAATTAAATAGGTTTGAAACCTTCAGTGGCTCCACATCCTCTTCTGGAAAATGGGCAGATTCTCCAAGTTAGCACGGAAGCCCTCGTCCAGCTGGATGTCACCTGTCTTTCCCTCTGTGGCCTACTTGTGCCCATCACCCCACCAGCCAGGCCTCCCTCTCCAGCCCTTCACACACACACACACACACACACACACCACTTGCCAGTCTTACAGCATTTGCCTGTGCTGCTCTCCTCACCACCTGACTTTCCCATAGCCCCTCAACCTCATTCTTGCTGTCGCCCCTCTCAGGGGCCCACCTGGCTGTGCGGAAGACGAGGCTGCTGCCTAGGCCCTTCTCGTCCTCATGGAGACGCTGGAAGGCCATCAGGAGGCTGTAGTCCAGCACGTTGAGCTCCCGGAGGAAGGTGGTATCCAGTTCCATCTGGCGGAGGAGCCAGCTCCGCTGGGGCCCTGTCGGAGCACCAGTGTCCCCAACTGAGCACTTGTCATGTGCCAGGTAAGGTACTGAGGGCCCCACATGCATCTGCCCCTGGAGGACAGGTGCTATTACTGTCCCATTTCACAGACGAGGAAGCTCATCTGTAATCTGCCCTGGTCACCTAGCTAGTAGATGTGGAGCCAGGATTTGCCTGACTCCAGAATCCAGGCTCTTAATGGCCCAAGCAGAGGGCAGTGCCAGGAACACCCCTCTAACTTCACCCTGAATGGAGGAAGAGCAGGCAGCGACTGCCCCCGGAGCTTACCCAGGTCGATGGTCTTGTCCTGGAAGTTGAGGTCCTTCAGCACCAGCACAAGGTGGCTGCCTTCAGGGGTCGGGTCCACCCACCGGCTCACCTCGCAGCCCTTGATGTCATACCTGGGTGTTGATGGTGAGGGGGACAGACACAGGATTCGGGTTTACACGGACATGAGACACACAGGGAACCTCACGAGGTAATAATAAGAAACAAGAGCTTCCACTGGGTGACTGTTCAAGAACTCGCACAACCCCGTTCCATTAACGTCCTCACGTTAGACAGGAAAGACGAAAAGAGGAAGAGTTCCTTTGACTCGCCGGAGACCACGCAGTACATAAAGGGCAGAGCAGGGACTCAAACCCAGGCCTTTGCCTATGCCTGCCCGTCAGCACTTTGCCATCCTGGGTTCGCAGGGAGGTCGGGGACACGGGGGTCCAACCCCACACAGCACCAGGAGGCATGAGGGAAGTGGGTGGCCCTGAGGGAGCACCAGAGACGGGCTCTGGGGCAGCGTTGGGAGGAGGCACAGAGGGCAACGTGCAGACAGAGGCCGCTCCCCGCAGAGCAGCTGTGAGTTTCTCATCTATAAAATGGCGATGATACCCACACTTCCCCTCAGAGTTGTTCTGGTAAAGAAGGTAATGAATACAAATGGCTCAGCACAGTGCCCAGTGCATACTGAGCACTCCTGAGATGCTGGTCGTGGGTACCACTGACTCCAACCCACCAGGAGATCTTGGGAACATCCCTTCTCCCCGGGCCTCAGCTTTGCCATCTACCTAGCGAGTGTGGGTGCTTCAGGTGGCACATTCCGGGTGGCGCCGGGCCCCTGTGAGGCCCACTCACCTCTCAGAGATGCGGCCGGTGGGATAGAAGACGCTCTGCATGATGATGAAGTATATCTGGGGACGCGAGTAGGGAGTGAGGGCGGCCAGGATCTCACGCTCCAGCCGCCCGCTCCGCCCGGGCCCCTCCCCTCGTCCTCACCCACCTTCTTTCCCCTGGCCACCTGCAGACTGTGCACTCCTGGAAGGGGAGAGGGCATCAGGTGAGGGGCCCCAAACTTGACAACCCCGGATCCACGCGGCCCCAGGCCCTCAGCCAGTCAGTCCCGACTCCATTCACCTCAAAGTCGAGCCGCAGAGGCGCCGGGTCCTCAGACATGGCCCCGCCCACATACCCTCTCCTAGAAATGTCCGATCCAAACCCCGCCCCTTTGGGCCCGTCCCAGATCTGGCTCCGCCCACCGGCCCCGTCATTCCCCCCCAACTTTGCCGTCTAGGACCCGCCCCTCACCGAAGTCGGCCCGCAGCCAGACCAGCTGCTGTCCGGTTCCCTGAACCCGGCTTGAGCTTGGGTACCCCACATCCCCCACCCTGGGTACCCCACATCCCCCACCGTGGCCCCTCCCCTCCTTGTCTAACTTCTTCGCCCCTGTCTCCGCAGCAGGTCCCAGCCCCGCGCCCGCCGTACCCAGCAACCGCGCTAACAGCGAGTGCGGGTACCGCTGCAGGTGCTGCGTGTAGCGGGGCAGGTGGGCGAGCAGCGCCCGCACCTCCCGGCGCCGCTGGGTCTTCAGGAAGAAGCGCTGGTCGTGGCTGGGGGTGGGAGGCAGAAGTCACTGCCCACTCCGGGCTGGAGCGGCCCCCAGCAGGCCCCCTGACCCCGCCTGCCCACGTGTAGCTGTCTCCCAGGACCCAGGCTCGCGGCCTCCCCGCCGTCCGTTGCCTTCTGCCCTGGCCCTCAGTCTCTCCTCCATCTGGCCTCTATCTGGTCTCGACCCCCCCTAACTTGGCCATTCCGTTTCTCTTTCCAAACGTCCCACCTCCGACCCGAAAACCACTCCCACCCTTTCCCCACTGCCAGCTCACGACAGGAAGAAGCTGGCCTTGCTCTTGGATGTGCTGAGGAACTGCAAGAAGGGCCCGCCGGGGCCCAGCGCGGCCTGGTAGTCCTCCTCAGCTAGGCCCAGTGAGCGGCGCAGCCAGGCGAAGGCCGGCCCTGCCAGGGTGCCCAGCTCGAAGCCCTGCAGGAGAAGGAGAGCATTCCCAAGAGTGTCCAACGGGGGGGCCAGGGCTGTGTAATTGGCCCTAGTGTGGGAGGGCCAGGGTAGCCACACCCTTCCTGCAAGGCCTTCAGTCCCACTGCACCGAAGGGGAAACTGAGGAAGAAAAAGAACAAAGCCAGGTGCTCACCCCTCCCATGCAGCAGTCTGGGGCTTCATACCTCATGAACCTGGGTCAGGACCTCGGAGAAATCCTCCTCAGTGGGCGCCCCCTGCAGGAAGGGCAGAGAGGCTCAGGGCAAGTCTCAGCCCCACAATGCCAATCCCAAGATCTCCAAACATCCTGCACCTGGTTTTACCCCCTTCTCCTAAGGTGGTCCCTCCAGGAAAGAGAACAGCCGTGGGTGTGTCTGAGGGGCAGATGGGCTGCAGACCTTCCCAGGGTTGGAGGGAAGATGAGAGAGTGGCCTGAGGCAGTGCTGAGTGAGCCTCATCCACAGCTGGGTCCCCAGCACCAGGCTCTGAATTCGAGCCTGGCACATTTGTCCGAACACACAGCCAAGTGAACAGATGCCATCCCAGTGAAAGGGGATGGTCTTGAAGCCAAGCAACCTGCCTGACTCAGTCTGGGAAAGGCAAGATCAGAGAAGGCTTCCTGGCGGAGGTGCCCTCTAAACTGAAGTCTGAGAATAAAGGAGAGGAGGAGCAGGGTGCTTGTAGCAGTGGGAACAGCATTGGTCGCCACCAGGAAAGGAAGGAGGGCCCAAGGGGCTGATGTAAGGGAGGGATGGAGTGTGAACAAGGTTGGCAGTTGGCCCTTGGGCTTGAGCCAGTAGGATCCTGAAGCCATGTTGAGTTCTGGGGAGCTATGGAAGATTTCCAGCAGGGGATGAGATTTAGAGGACTTTCTTGGACTCCTACACTTTCTCTAGACCCCTAGGTCCCTGTGCCAGGACTTGGCCTGTGTGATTTGGTCACACCAAGCATACATATACTCACACACAAAGAACACACATGCTTATCTGGGCCTGTCCAGCTGCTGAGCTTGCAGTCGGTCCACCCTTTCTGCTGAGCCAGCCTGGCCCCAGCCTGAGCTCTGGGAGGATGGGCCCAGCTGGTGGGGTGGGGGTGGGGGTGGGGTCCCTTTTCAACAATACACCTGGCAGAGAGGGGAGGGCCTCAGAGACTAAGTACAGTTCTCCACCCACTAGGCAGATGGGGACACTGAGGTCATCTTGAGTCACACAGCAACCACCTGGGTCAGGGGCTCCTCGTCCCCAGTACACACCGGGCTTTCCAGTTTTCTGAACTCAGCCCACACCCCAGAATGTCCCTCTCTCCCTGCATCAAGCCCTGGACTTCCTCCCTTGATAGCCTCTGATCCCCAACCTGGCAGTATGAGCAGGAAGGGGAATCAGCCTCATCTCGCTGTTGGCACAGTGGAGGTACATGGGACAGACTGGCCACTCACCATGGGTGGGTGGTCCATGGAGACCTGGGTGGCAGACCACAGCCCTGCCTGCATCATACACGTCAGCTGGTGCAGCTCATGCCCGGGGCCAATCTCAAACAGGCCTAAGCGTGACTGCTTGTCTCGGAGACGCCAGAGGAGGCCACGGCGAACTGAGCTGGAGGTGGCTGCTCTGACTCCAGCCTCTGGGGAGGGGGCCAGAACCTGGCGGCAGGAAGCACAGAAACAATGAGCATGTGGCAGCAACTCGAAGGGAAAAACTTGAGTTTGAGTCCACCTCCACTACTTGTGACCCCTCCTTTCATTTCTCTCTGCCTCAGTTTCCTCAACTATAAAACAGGGATAATGCTGGATACCTCTCTCTGGGTGTTGTGATGGGCCACACAGTGCCTGGCATGCAGTCAGCACCCAGAATAGGCTGATGGTTATTATCGTCAGTAGGCAGAGCATGCCTTTGGCAGCCAAATCTGACCCAAGATTGTCTCTCACCAGCTGTGTGACCTTAGGTAAGTCACCTAAACTCTTTGCACCTCATTTTCTCATCTGTAAAATAAGAACTGCAACTCCTTCCTGGTAGGTGTTAACTGTTACTGTTGAGTCTGAGCTCTGTGCACAGGGGCCCTTGAGAGTAGGAGCTGTGATGCTGGGATTCGGTATCTGTTCCACTCATCTATGCTGAAAGTTCCTCCAGGCCGGCGCAGAGGTCCCACGAAGCTGAGCTCATAGCAGCTGACCCACTAGTAGTGGGCACCCATAAGGTGCACAGCACAGCAGAGCTTGACCTCCTAACAGCCCCGTGGAGATTTTTCTATCATCTCCATTTTCCCGATGAGGAAGCTGAGGAAGTTCTCAGGGGATGCCCGCCAGAATCTCCTGTTCATACCTGCAGCCCCATGTGGGGCGTGTCCTGGTCCCCGTCCAGTGCCGGACCCTCCTGAGCTTGGACGGGTGTGTGTCTGGGAAGAAGCAGCCCGGCTCCTGTTCCCCAACCCTTCCCTCTCCTGTCCTCCCTAGGGTCCGCACCTACCTCTCGGAGCCCAGGGATCGGTGCGGCCATCGCCCCCGCAGCAGCTTCCCGGGCTCTGGCCGCTTCCCCCGCCGCCCGGCTGCGGGACCCGGGCTCCGCCCCTGCCTCTGGGCCGACCAATCGCGTGGCGCCGGCCACGACTGCACCCAATCCGCGCGGGGGGCGCCGGCGATCTCCTGCGGGCCCCGCCCCCGAGGCTGCAGCATCCCTCGGACCACGGTTCTGGGCGGGGCGGGGCCGCCGCGAGTTTGTTAGGGCTTCGCGAAGTAAAGAGGGCCCCCCCGTTTCCCTTCCTGAGGTGAGGCAGTGGGTCTAGGGGCCGCTTGGGGAGGCGGGAACCTATATCCAATCCCGCCCACCAACTCTGACGTGAAATTCCCACCGACTGTCTCAGGGAGGAAACTAAGGTCCAGAGAGAGAAGTGACTACCTCCAGGTCACACAGGAAGTCAGGAGCATGCATTCATTCAACACATACTTTGAACACTCACCATGGGCCAAGAGCAGTGCTAGACCCTGGCGATTTAATGGTGAGAGGAAGGAACACAGCTGTCAGTGTAATCTTTTAAAAGCATAAATCAGATGATGTCACTCTCATGTTATAGCCTCCAGTGGCTTCCCACGACGCTGGAACAAAATCCAAACCTCTCATCGCGGCCCCAGGCCCATCTGCCCATTCGCTAGCCCATCTCAAGCTACTCTCCCTATACCCAATGCACAGCCAGAGGGGCTCCCGCTGGTCCTTAGCCACCAAACTCTTCCACACCTGGGGCTCTTTCAGGTGCTGCTTGTTCCCTCTGCTTGAAATCCTTTTCTCCAGACTTCACTTGCCTTATTTCTTCTTGTCCCCTTGCCCGATTATGTGTCCCCTCCTCTCATTCTTTTATCATATCACCTTGTTTTTATTTTCATCACACTGAACACTGTCAGAGGTTGTCTTGTTCATTTATTCCATCTCCTGATAGAACGGGAATGCCAGGAGGGCAGGAAATGCCAGGCTCATTTCTTGGTTCAATGCCTGACACAAACCGTTGTTTCACAAGTAACACGTAGGACCAATGTGAGTAGGATGTGTAAGGGGCCCTGGTGAGTCCCAGGAATGCAGGGCCAGCATGGCGAGGAGACAGCAAGCCGGCATGCAGGTCCGGTACAGGCCATGGGAGGGAGAGGGTGGGGACAGAAGCCTTACAAGTGTGTGTGAGGAAGACGCTCAGGTGTTTTTTAAAAGGCCACTGATTGTCTTGCATAGTCAGATTGGAAGTTGGAAGGGGCCAGAGTGGGCAGGGGGAAAGCCTTCTGATTTAGGATGGAGGATGGCAGCTTGGGATCAGCAAAGTGACTTATAGTGAGGGGAGGGGAGAAAAAAGGGAGAATTCACAGGCTTTGGAGTGGCATGGGAGAGGAGTGGGAGACAGCCAAGTTCAATGATGTCGGCCAGGCTTCTGGCAGGGGTCAGGGGCACAGGATGATGCAGTCACGAGAGCGGGCAGGGCATGCGGGAAGAGCCAGATTTGGCCCGGGGGGAGGGGGGCAGTTGACAATTCAGATGACAGAAATTTGAGGTGCCACATTACATCTGATGGGGCTGTCAGGTGGGCAGCTGATGCATGTGTAATATATCCGGGATCAAGAGAGCTGGGGGGAGGCAAACCTAGGTAAGGATGAGGTCACTCAGGAAAAGGTCACCTCGCCAGGTGGGGTGAAGCCTGTGGAGTCCTGAGTCACTGGTGTCACTGGTGGTCTGGGCAGGTGCAGCCCTCCTGGACTGCTGCGAAGCACAACAGTGAGGAAATGCGGCAGCAGCAGTGGGCACCCCTACAGCTGTGAAGTGCGGAATCTGGGGCACATTCATGAAACTCTGGGAGGGCCCCGGTGGGAGGCAGGGGCTGTTCTCCGGACAGGGGGATGAGCAGACATAGGAGGCCCCTGCTAGACAGCAGGGCAAAATGACAGAACCCAAAGCCCAGGGGGCAGCTCTGCCTGGACTGGGGGGCGGGGAGAGGGTGGGACAGGTGAGGGCAGGGCAGCTGTGCCTACTGTTGGCCTCTGCTCCGAGGGAGTCTCATGCCAGTCACCCTGAATGGAGAGCCAGCTGCTGAGGGCCATGGTGGGGTTGCTGGGGGACCAGAGCTGGGGCCTGTGTCAGATTAGTTAGCCTGAGCACAGGGGGGTGCAGCTGGGCTCTGGCTCAGCAGGAGCCCTCACTGCTTAGGGTCATGCTAAGCTGAGCAGCTGGGTACAAGAGAGGGGCGATGGGCTGGGTACAGAGGGTCCCTAAAATACTAGTGCCTGCAAGTTGGGCTGGCACAGGGAAGGGTGGTGACCAATGTGGTGTCTGGCACACTGGCATACCACTGACTCCCCAGCCATAAGCCGCCCCAGGCCAGAACCACCTCTGTCCCTGCCCCTGCCCCTGCTTTATTCCTTGGCCAGCACAGGGATGATCCAGGAGGTACAGGAGGCACCTGAGACCAATGCAGAGGCCAGTTCCCAGCCCCTCTCTAGCTTCCCAGCAGCACAGCTTCAGGCATGGCCGCCCTCATGTGCCCTGAAGCTTAGCATTAGTCCCAGGGCCTGTCACTGCTCCCTGTAGTCCTCCCAGGTCCAGAAGTCCTTGTGGGGCCTGGGGCCATGTCAGACCTGGGAAGCGACCTTTGTGGAGGGGCAGGACATGTGAGGAGAGGTCATGTGATGCCTCAGAACCTGCCAAGTCCAACATCAGCACATGCGACAGGAGGGAAACTGAGGCAAGAGGGCAGAACCCAGAGGAAAAAGTGGTGAGTCTGGAGGTGAGGTGGGAAGAACCAGGATCTTTCAGGCTCTGAGCCAGGAGGGGGTGAGAGGGAGACTTCCAGGTATTTCTCCCTTGGCGGCTGGAAGGCTGGACACAGGGGGAGGAGGGGCTCTGGTCAGTGGGGAGTGAGTCCTAAACAGTTCCATCCCTCGAGGGTGTCTGCAGGGCAGCCAAGCTTGAGGGGGCCGCAATGCCTGGATGGGTCCTGAGGGGCCCCCAGGCCCTGCCCCAGAGGGAGGCAGAGGAGGGGCTGGCAGCCTCATTCCTGCCAGGCCTTCACTGAACCTTTTTGGTCACTTTCTGGTTCCTCAGCATCACGTAGGTGATGAATAATCCTGAAATACACAGACCAGAAAGGCCAGGTAAGACCCAGGCTCAGGACTGCCAGGAGGCCAGAGCAGAGCACAGCACGGCACAACAACCCACCCACAGGGCCACGCACCTATCCAACCACCCTCCAGGCCATGGTCATCTCCTTAGCCATTCATCAAGCCACACGTCCATCCATTCGTTCAACAACAATACCAATGGAGCACCTACCACAAGCAACCTGCTACATTTAGTGTTTCAGATCCTATGGAGAACAAGATCCACCCCATTATCCAACTACTCACCCCGTCAACCACCTGTCCACCTACCTACCCACTCATCCACCTGCCTACTCACCATCCATTGTCCACCCACCCATCATCCAGTCATCCAACTGGTGACTCATCCAAACCACTTTCTCCTGAGCACCAACTCAGTGCCACAGTGTGTGCCAGTTGGTGGGGACATAATAATGAAGACACAGTCCCCATCCCAGGAAGCCCACACACTAAACCATGGGAGACAGAGATGCAGAAATCATGAGCCAGGGTGACAAGCTGGTGAGAGGTGACTGAGCTGTGAGCATAGTCGTGGTGACGGGGGAGGGAGAAGGAAAAAGGGAGATATCCTATAAGGGTCCAACAAGCCTGAGGTTTTAGGAAGACCAGACGGGTACCGACTTGCAGCCCTAAAGGATGAACAGTAAAACGCCAGGGGTAAGCTGGGGGCAAGAAGCCTCAGGCAGATACACAGCAAGTACCAAACTATAGAAGTATGTTCAGGGGCAGGAGAGGGTCATGAGGTCCCCCAAATACCTGCCCAAAATTGATGGAATGATGACTTACCCACAAACAGGAGCAGCAGGAGGCCAGCGGCCAGTGGAATGGCTACAGCATAGGCTCGAGGCAGGAAATACTTATGGATGACATGCTGGCTGTCAATGAAGGGCTGGTATCGAGAACAGAGCTCTGGTGAGCATTCCTCACATTGCCTAGCCCCCTGAGCCCAAACATCTACCTCCTCCATCTCAGAGGCCAACCCCAAAGCACCAGGCCAGTGCTTGCTTTTCTTTAACATGCTGGCATTTCAGATGCCTTGGTTTGTTTCCTTCATTTCTTTCTTTAATAGTTGGTCACCTGCCTAGTGTGTGCCTTAAGTTGGTGCTGGGGATCTGACAGTGAACGGAAGACAAGTGACTTGCCCTAAGGTACTCACACCCTAGCAAAAGGAATCCTTGAGTGATTCCCAAACTGGGCTCCCAGGTCATCTTTAAACATTTTCCTGAAAGATAGCAAGTTCTGCAAGATTTACCTTCCAAACACACTGCATTTCTTAAGCAATAACAAATTCTCCCACAAGAAAGAAAAAAAACCCAAAAAATCCACGGACACGCCTCATGCCCAGGACCCAGCAGGCAAAGAGAAGGGCTGGAACACACATCAAAGGCAAAGCCAAACTGGAACTGGGCTTCGTCACGGTGTAGCGGTTAAGGATGTGACCTGGGGCCTGCCCCTTCTTCCCGAACCTCAGCTTCCTCATCCATAAAATGGGACACCACTAGCACCTTCCTCATAGTGCTGTTCTGGAGATTTCGTAACAGAAAGCAGGTGCCCGGTACACAGCAGCTGTTTAAATGATGTTAAGGGTTGGTTTCACGATACAGGGGTGGGAGGGAGGCGAGATGAGGGCGGGAAAGGGGGAGCACACATACCAGGAGAATCACCCAGACGGTGTAGTAGGTAAAGATGATCAAGCTAACGGAGACGAGGCCGAGTCCCACCACCTGGTCCGTCCCCGTGGCCTAGAGAAATGGGACAGCTCACTTGTCGTTTAGGGGCACTACTGGAGGTGTGGCGCAGCAGCTTGATTACGCTCTAAGCTTCCCATTTACTCAACAGACATACACAGGGCTGGTCAGGTATCCATTTCCAGGCTGGGAGAGTGCCGAGCCTCGGGGTTTTCATTCGTACAATGGGCCGGCGGGAGAGCAATCCCAGTTGCGAGGGTCTAAGCCCTAGCTCCTGAGCAGACCCCTTCCCGCAGCTGTCCCCAACCCCCAGGACCCGGCCTCAAACTCACCATTTCGGGGGCTTCAAAGCAGAAAGCCACGTCCAGTTCCGGATCCGGGCCTTTCTGGCCTTGGGTCGCGGAGCATGCCGGGAGCCGTAGTCTATCAGTAAGCACGGCCTCCCCTTTGCCTGTCGGGAAACGTAGTTGCTCCACGGCATTGTGGGACATGTGGTCCCCGAATCTCCCTAGGACCGAGTTGGGAACCCGAAGCCAGAGAGGGATGGGGTTGAGGGGCTTCAATCTTCATTTTCATGTGAAGATGGGGCTCAGAGAGAAACGAGGACTTTCAGGAAATCACAATTAGAGTTAGATGAAGCGGAGACCGGAACCCGGGGGACCTACTTTCTAGTCCAGAGGCCATAACTTGGCTGTTGAGGGGAAGGGTGCAGAGAGGTTCACTGCCCGAACTGGACTGGGAGGAGGGCCTGACGGAGCCCCCAGCGTTGGGGAGGATTTCGACTAGCTGGGACGGGAGCGTCCCCTTATCATGGCCTAGATTCCCAGTGACCCTTTGGGTGTCCCCTCTTCACTACAGGGATGAGGCCAGGGTGACCCTCCCATCACCGCCGATAGGTGTGTGGATTGGCTGTGTGCACAGGTCCCTCCCGGTCCAGAACACTATCTTCCCACAGCTCACGGGCTGGCTGCTCCTCACCCATCAGGTCTCACTGGGCTGCCTCATCCTAGATAAGCTAGGTAAGCAGGGGTTCCCTCCCCGGTGCTCCACAGCCCGAAGAGTCTCCCTGATGTCACTTGTCATCGAGTTTTAATTAGCTGATTTACATGTGGATCTGGCCCATTTGCTGTGAGCTCCCTGAGAGTGGGGTCTGTGGTCACTGCTGTATCCCCAGTGCCCAGAACGGGGTTGGCCCACAATAGGAGCTTTGAGTCAACCAACCAGCTTTAAGATTTGGTGATCCTAAGCTTTTTTAGATCCTGGAATGCTAGAGAGCATCTGGAGACTCCAGGCCTCCTGGGTCCTGTGGAAGCCTGCTCCCAGCACTGTATGGGGAGGGGAAGTATGCAGAGATGCCATCTGAAGCTGGTATGGCTTGCTCCTGTTGGCAGCGCCTGTATCCCTGGGTCGCCTGAGCCCGTCTCTATGGGGACTGCACTCCCAAAGTTGATAAAGAGTAACCCTTTTTGGCCTACAGCACAATTCTTTCCCTCTCTGTCTCAAGACAGACTTTGAGCTCAGCTAGTAGACTTCTCCCTCCCTCCAAAGGTGTGCTGTGGAGAACAGAAGAGACTGAGAATCATCCTGCGGGGTGTAAAGGGGCTGTTGAGTGAGGCACCAGCCCTGAGAAGCGGTGGGGGTGCTGCCTGCTGCAGTAGGGACCAGGCCTCATAGCTTGGTGCCTTCTCATCCAGAGCCTCTTCTGAGCTGATTAAAGGTCCAGGCTGACTTGCCTTTTCCAGAGCTTGGCTAACCAATGGGCTTCTATTTAATGTGACAGAGCGGGCAGGGAGGGAGGGGCTTGGGCTTTGGACAAGTTGGGAGCATGCTGGGCACCTTCCATGTCAGGCTGTCACCCACCTTCTCATTTGATCCACAACCCCATTTACAGCTGAAGAAACTGAGGAGCAGACATTTGCCCTCAGACTGACTGCTGTGGAGGTCCATAACACAGTGGTTAGAACTTGGGCTCTAAGGTCATAAATGTCCTAGGTGTGAGACTAGCAAGAACTGTCTGTCCTTCTAGGCCTCAGTTTCCTCCCCAGGTATCGGCAATAATACATGTGATAGTATTTGGGGCTGCAGCCAGGGCTTGAGAACCCCACCCGCAGAACGTGCTTACACCTCTGGATTCCTTCTGATTCTTTGACCCCAAAGTCAAGGTGATAAAACAAAAAACAACGTGCCACAACAAACAAAAACTGCAACATTTAATTTTTTCCCCCAAACCAAGACACTGACACTAGGCTGATTTCCCCTCACAATGTTATTTTCTACAATAGAAGCTGGAACAGAGATACAAACACAGCCCACTGAATTGGAGGGGTGGGGATGAGGGGGCAACATTCTGTTAGAAAGGAGGGGAATTAAACAAAAAAAAGACCTCTCCCCATCCCCCTGGAGAGGAAAACATTCTCCATTCTAGCAGATCGTGCCATGTGACAAGTTTGTGGGGTGACAGGAAACAAAATAACCTAAAAATATTGTAGACCTTTTCTTTAAATTTCCTAGTAAAAACGTTAAACTGTCTTTCAAGAAGATTCCAAACTGGCATTGCATAGACCAATTCCTTTCCAAAAATACCTCTAATATATTCTTTCTATCTCTATATATAGAATTTTAAATCCAAGAGCTGTGGGCACCTAATGGGAATTCACTGAGCTTGGGACCAGAGGGCCAAAGAAAGGGCTCCCCGTGAGGTTGAGGCCAGGGCTCCAGGCCTCTGGCTCCAGCGTAATTTGGTTGTGGCCAAATTCTCAGTCCCATTACCTTACCCCAGGGCGTAGTGTGGGAGGATGTGGCAGGCTCTGTCTCTTTCTGAGGTGACAGTCAAGCTCAGACCTCGCCTTGGGTGGGGCTGAGGTTCCTGGTTTGGGGGAGTCTCCCCAACAGCAGCAGAGCCAGTTGTTTTATGCCTGAAGCCCCAGAACTTAGAATCAGACCCCGAGTACACCCCGAATGTACCTGCGCCCTGGGCTGAGGTCGTGCAGACACAGAAGGAAAGGAGAGCACTCTCCCATTTTCTGGGCGTCACTTCATCTGGGGACAGTGCGACCAGCTCCCTTTTAAAGTGCCAGGTGTTTGCAGGGCAGGAAGGGACCCACAGAGCTGACCAGAACCTTCTCCAGCCAGAACAAATGCTCTGTCCTGCCTCAGCAGGCACCTTCTCACATTCATTTTCAAAAAGAGGTGATTAAAAACAACAAATCCTAGAAACGCTCTGGTCCCAATGCCAGAAGGTTCCAAGACAAAGATTCCAAGTCTCACCAGCTGGAGCAGAAGGCAAGGACCCCTCCCAGCCTGGGGAGGACACCCTCACTCCTACCCACACCCCTACCAGAAAGAAAACCAGTATCCTGGCCCCCAGTCAGATCCCCAGCCCGACTGAGACCCGGCCAGCGGGGCGGGTAGGAACAGAACTACCTCCCCTCACCTGGGGGAGGAGAAAATGCCAAAATGTGAATTCAATAAAAAGGAAGGAAGGAGGAATCGGAAATTAAAAGAAAAGAAAAAAGGTACAGGGTTGTAAACCCCAGCCTGCCGGGTTTATACAAAATGAATGAAATTTAAGAGTGGCAAGGGATCTGTTCAGACTGGCTGCCAGCCAGAACCCACCTTCAAGCAAGTAAGGAAGATGGGGCGGGGGGAAAGTGCTGAGAGCAGAGGCTTTACTGAGGGGCAGGGGCCGGGGGTGGGCAGGGCCAGACTGCTCCCCACCAGGAAACCCTGTGAAAGGACCCCACCTTGCCCACATCCAGAGAGGGGCATGCTCTCAGAGGAGGGCTGGGGCTCTTCTGGCCAGGAAGCCAGCTCCAGGCCGGTCCAGTCACAGCCTACCTGCCCCTCCAGCACTGACCCTGGGCCAGCTGACCCTGAGGAGAGAGAGGGGGCTTTGCTTGCCAAGCCCAGCCCATGAGGCCCTCACCTCCAAGGGCTTGGAAGACACCTTCCCTGGCTACCTACGAGAAACCAGCTGCTCAAGACCCAGCCCTGGGCAGAGGCGAACCACTGTGGACGCACAGACCTTCCTCAGGGTGGGTCTCAGGCCTGAGCTGGAGCTAACAGGAGGGAGGAGAGAGGCAGTGCCACGTTCCAGTCGGGCTGCAAGAGCCGGGAACCGACTGCACAGCAGGCAGCACCCAGCACTCCTGGGAAGGGCTCAAGGAAGGGCAGGTGAGGGCCGAGGGCTGTGCTGGACAAGCATGTGCAAAGAGCAGGCTGCCAGGGCAGCAGGAGAACATTCGCTGGGGGAGGGGGTCTTAATGTGGAGTGTGGGTGGGTCTGAGGTCTTGGCTCCAGGAGGAGGCCGCCAGCGGGTCCCCCAGGACACAGAGAAGGGACAGCTGAAGCACTAAGCAGTCAGAGCCACATGGCAGGACGCTGGGGTGGACTGGCCACCCCAGGGTCTGGCTGAGCCAGTGCTCCTGGATACGGCGGGGACATAGGGCAAGAGGCCCCTCAGCCACAGCACCCCCATGCATATGTTCGCCGAGAGGCCAGGTGGTCTCCAGCAGGGCAGTCCTGGCCATCAGTCTTGTCCATCTGCTTCATGGGCCCGTGTGTCCTGCCCCATAGTGGTTCAGAGGAAAATATTCACAGTGGTACCCAGGGCCTGGCAGGCCAGGAGGGTCCTGGCATGGATGGGAGGGCAATGGAATGATGCTGTGGGGCAGGAGTGGGGCTGGAACACATGGAGGAGGCACAGATGAGATGCGGTGCGGATGGTGACCCAAAGGAGAAGGTCCCTTGCGGAATGACACGGGTCTCGACACCCACGATGGCAGGGCCCTTCTCCAGCCTGGACACCCACTCCTCAATGGCTTTCAATCACGACTGGCTCGTAGACCCCAGAGGAGACCCTGTGGGGGAGAGACAGGTCAGCCCCACCTTCCTGATGCCCCTCTGGGCTAGGCCCGTGGAAGCGCTTCACAAGAAAGCATTGTTAACTGGCTCTGTTTAGCAGAGGGGGACTCGGGGGTCCAGAGAGACTGAGCCACTTGCCCAGGAAAACACAGACGGTAAGTAATGGAATCTGTGGGAGAGCAAAGCTGGCGCAGGCTGTGTCCAAGCTCTTCCTGGGCACCAGTGGCTTACACAATGGTACTATTGGTAATACTACACCCCTCCCACTTGACAGAAGAAGAAACTGAGGCTCAGAGGGATTACAAGCCTTGTCAGAGGGCGCAGTAGGACAGCAAAATGGAAGGCCAGGCTGACCCTAGTGTAGTGGACGTTTGGGGCTCAACATGCAGGTCTGCTGAGACTCTGTTGCTGATTTAATTGGTTTTCCATCCCCTGAACCCCAGTTTCATCATCTTCAGAAGGGGCTAGGGAGGGGGTGTTCACAGACCATCAAGCAAGCGACCTCCATGTTCTTGTTCCCCCCCAACCAGGACAGCCCAGGAGGCCACTGGGAGAAGACACTTGCAATTTTGAGCCTTAGCCAGAAGGGGTCAGCAGAGCAGCACCCGAGGGCAGTTCCCCGGCCCCGGGCGACCAGCCAGTC